GACAAGCAGTGTACTGTCAATAAGTATGGAGCCCATAGGTATTTCTTTAGTGTAACAACTTTAACACATATATTTTAAGCGAATTCAGGTCTACCTCCTCCCATAGGCGTCCGTTGCAAGCGACTATGTGCCCATTTTTATCTTGTCATTACTATAATTCACCTCTGTATTACGCTCGTGTTATTCATATACAATATAATTTGGTTATAACATTAAGTTATGATTATAGGTGAACAGCACGAGAGTAAAAAGCGATGAGTTAAAGTAATGAAGTTATACTACAGATGAAGAAATACTTCAAAACGCATGTAGTTTACACCAGAATCACCCAGTAACGTGTCTATGCTCAATTGTGGCCTCCACATTTTTTGACAAGCTGTTTTGAATTTGACAATACTCGCATGTATTCCTAACCGCTATCTGTGTTACGTATTAACGTCCATGAGAACGTATCAGCTCTGTTCCGTTTCTGTGTATGAAGGATGTTGACGGTGATGTCTGGCTGGGCCATACAAACCACGCGCTTCCTCTTCCTGGTCCGCCCCAATCCTTATCATATATTCTGCAATAGCTGTACTAGTTATTTTTATTAAACTGACATCTTCCTAACGTAGCATTTGTGTTTACCATCAATGCATATTGGACGCAGGAAAACACTGACATATTATCATATGAAAGGTCAAGGTGCATACTGCCGTGTAGTCAGTCAGCTGTAGAGACATTAACTTGAAAGGGAGTTATATACCAGCGACATGAAAAACAACAACGTTTTCCCCGACACAGCACGAAGTCCATAATCGCTCATCTTCAGACGAAATGGATATAAGGAATTACTAAAGTTACAAGAATAAGTCACAATATGATTATTGTATGTGGATATGTTCGTTTTGGCACTGTCATTTTATACTTAAGTTTATCTATGTGTTTACCAATAAATATCAAACCTGAAATATCCCAGATTGTGTAGGCACTGTCAAGAACGTTTATGGAATATGAATAGTAGATGGATAATGATATGAATAGTAGATGTAAGCTCCGTAACTACAGATCTTTTAAAGATTTGTATTGCTGTGCAAGTTATGTCAGCACGTTTTATGCCCCGGATGTACCGCTCCGCCCTTGCAAAATTTACATGTGGTATTACGCCTTTAAGAATAGGAAAGAAATAAAAATTTAAATGTTTGTTTTAACTGTAATGAATTTATCGAAGACGAAGAGCATGTTTTATTGCAGTGGCCCTTATAAGATGATTTTAGAATAGCTCATTTTACAAATGTTACTGCTGAAGTGTCCCAACTTTTCAACTTTGTTAAACTACGAAATGTTATGTGTCCTTTTTAAACACGAGTTGTATTTTACTGCCTAAACCTGCTTTTTTGGTACTATAATTGAAACGTAGAAGACATATTTCATGTAGATAAACTGTGGCTCTGATATATGTATAAATGCCTGCTCGTGTATGCTTTTACCGTCTATCATAACTAATTGTGAGTGTCGCTGTAACATATTCTTACTGTATTAAGTCTTTTCTGTACTGTATATTTATTCTTTTCAAGATGCACGGATGTATGAGACGTAAATATAACTTCTGTCTGTCTGTCTGTCTTCCCCGATGTAAGGATGAACACAAGGATTGATGAGTGTATGAGCACCTTCAAACACACGTGTAACAGAAGAAAAGCCCCGACCTTATTTCAAGCATTATATCACAGGGGCAACAATATTTATCACTGAACTAATGCAACGTATAGGAATTAACAAATTAGTCTTAGCTGTACTTATATTAGTTTTGGCATTTGTTGTGGCTATGTCTTGATGCAAATTTAAAATATTTCGTGTAAATAGAAAAATATATAAGTATTTTATAGTCCGCATCCTTAAATTAAATTCTAAATATCCATCACTGGTATCATTTAAAACAGCTGTCAATACGTTAAATATCTCTACCAGATGTACCACTGCACGAATCTAAATGTATCATGTGCATGATGTAAAAGGCATGCATGTGTATGCATCAATGTAAATGTGTGTATAATTATACATGGATATATATGTGAAGATACATGTTATCATGTAAATATGTGCATAATTGAGAGAAGGTACCTGTATCTGTATGTAATTTTTCACTTACCATAGTTTAATGGAATGAATTGACAAAAAGCTGGTAAGTGTGACACTTGGGACTAATCCATTTTCCTACATAGCTGCAATTATTTAGCTAATATATGTTTTACTTAAAACAAAACTTCGTGCAATAGCTTGAAATTCATATTGAAGTACTTATGACGAAAACACAAAATACAAAATAATAGTTTACTTTAATGTCTTTACACGTGGTCAGTATATTTTATGTATGTGACATTATGTGACATAATATTTACAAGTACATGTTAAGAAGTCCCACGTGTGTTATATAGGCTAGACACCTGACCATATGTCAAGATAAGTGTTGATATAGGAGTTCCCGTTTCCATGACGGAAACTTGATCAAGTGAAAATAATTTTTAACATTGGAATACACTAGATTTAGCATTATTTGTGGCGAACTAGTCAATAATAAACGTGTTTCAGCTGCCTACAAAGTCAACAATTATACAACTTGTAACGTCTACATGGCATGCGACCTCCAAGTACAGGCCACGCTGTGTGAGAACGATACATGATATGTAGGTCCACATGCAGGCTTTGTGTCTGTGCATGAATGCCACTACTCATATGTGCTGCGCCGACGACATTATCGTATCGCGACATGAAGTTGTGCATGTCGTTTGTTAGACAATCTCTTAAGCTGTTCACTTCAGCATGTGATCGACTGTGTCTATACTCAACTACACCGGCACGCCTAGGTACAAGAATACATATATATCTAGCTCCGCCAAGGACTAATCTTTACCACAGTGATATCAATTAGTGTAATTTCACTTCACGCATGAGTCGCTGCCAAGTACAGTATTACCTGCTTAAATATCGCTGGTTGAAAGTCTGTTTTGTTGGGTTGCTGGATATACAAGCATGTTTCGTCTTCGTTTCAATGAGGACAAGGAGGTTACATTGTGCACACCACGACTGACTTGTGTGAGAGAACGTCTGTGTTGATCCGTGCACGAACGTTAAAGTCAGTAAATGTAAACATTTACACTATTTCCAACCACATACTAAAGTTTAGAAACATTGTATTGTTTGTATTTTAACCAAAGAATATCCTAACTCTATGTAAACAAAACTTTTGATTTAACTTCTTGAACTATATTTTTAGCAGCACAATATTTGATATACAGATACAGTCAATACTTCTATAACATATTTCGCGTCTTCATTACTTGCGTTTCCGCACTTAAAGCAAATTAAAATGACATTGTGTACACTTATCAATAAAGATTCTACGATGGGAAGCGAAACTGACCAAAAATAACCCAAACCATAACAGTACTAAAACAGTAGGTGTAATATTCATAATGTATCAACAGCTTAATGTGTTCAGCTGTAAGTGTTCTATTTGTTAATGGGAGACATCATTCTGTCCTAACTATAAAGCCATATAAGTGATCATACCTTTTGCATGAGGCCAATATCTACACATATTTGTTTCACGATTTAGAATGTGTATCACATTCGTAAATAGTCATAAATAGGATGAACAACAAATAATTGCATCTAACTATTGTGGTTGTATTACCTGAAATATGCTTGTTTGGTGAGTGACTTGGGATAAAATACATCATAGATGTAGATGAGCTTTGAGCATGAGCACAGACTTTGCCTCTTAAATGTAATAATATTCTATCATTTCACGGGTTTACCTCCTGCTATCTATCGACACGTCAAAGTGTACAATAATTTCCCTGATCTTCATAAATTCATATCGTTTTACAGATCATAGAATAACAGAAAGTAATGAATATATATTCGAAATGCATTCTTCATATCATGAAAATTAGTCGTGGTTTTCTATTGTATAGAAAACTGTGAGACACGGTCCTTATAATGTTTCACGGGTCGATGGTAGAATATTACTGAATTGTAACAATATGGATTAAAACTATTTGCTACTTTTATCAGACATATTGTTAGCTTCAAATTGTTTTTGCAATTGTTTCACGATTTTCTAAAATAGACAATTATGCCATTTTCACCAGTGAAATATTATATTGTTGTCAGTTTAATGAATTAATGATGATTAATGAATTCCCCGTCTGTAGTGTCTATAATACAATACTGATACATCTAGTATTCATTCTATGTTTTATGAAAAACACCAACAACTATTTTATATCCATGTTTATAAATATCTGTGTGGTCAAGGATCATTTTCACGACAACAACGTTCTTCCCAAGAAACAGATCTAGAGCCTTGTAGTAACAACTTTTAGGAAATATGATTTCTATGAAAACTTTCGGAATCAGAGAACAACCAGATTCTAACACCGGGCATACACAGGATTTCTTTTTGTATATTTACTATCAGTGTTGCCATGATTATTGTATCAAAATAACAGAAAAATATATCTAAGACACAAAGTCTCGGCTTTATCTTGTTAACAATACTCCACTGAAATCAGGAACCGGCCCTTGGATGGCTGGGTGTCATTCCTTTCAACAAGGAAGTTTACCCTTCTTAATGTAAATCTATGTGTTGAAAGAAAGACATTTAACCTAGTTAAGTTTACACTGCACCAGCTTAGTTTCCATAACGCCCTCGTGCAGATTACACACACTGTCAGGTTTAGGGCCCTCTTTATAACGCTGTAAGTCGCATTATCTTGACTTATATCAGACTTCGATCGGCTCCAAACATGTCGCGCTCTCAATTGTCCAAAGGGCAATAACTGCTGTGATGGAATCGAAACATTCATCCACAACCCGGAAGTAACCTAATTGGCTACGGATAAGACCTATGAGACAATTATTTAAAGAAACAACAAAAGAACTGTTACAATATTATAGGCAAAACATTAAGTGAAATACTTGTCTATTCAGAACAAATGTATAAAAATACTTACTGTGCCAAATAGGTCCCAAGCTCCCTTGAAGAGTCTCCCTTGAAGAGTCTCCAATTCTCCGCTCTGCTGAATATTACCAACTTAGTTTAGGATTTCTGGGGGCATTTTCGCATTGGAAACTTTCACGAATGCTCCAAGAAAGCCTAAATTTGTCGGATAATCTCTTCTCTGTGTGGCAATTGCTGAGGTCCTTCGAATAGTTTACAAGCCGAGCAGTCGACACTGTTCCCGATAACCGCGTTTCCCCGAAATTACAATCGTTCCTCGGAAATGCAACTGTGGGTGTAACAGGTCCCGACATGATGCATGCCAGATCGATGTACTATGCATATATGCAAGGCTGCACAACATTAGGCGAGGCCCGGTTGAGCGTTACCTCCCGTGATCTTGTAACAGGATGTATGAGAGAGATACAGGTTTATATATACCACTGTATTGTATACATGTGGGCGGGGATTGGCCGCTGGACACATGCCATGGATTTCTGAGAAACGTGCAATACACACTATGATCAAACCGAAAGGAGAACACCGCGCCTGGCTGGACTATCTGTGGCCTGTTTGTAATGTTCCAAATAGTTCGCTTTTTTTGGACATGCTTTTATTGGTCGGGTGGTGAAGGCATTGACTACCATAGCCAGTGGGAACTAAAACATGTAGAGTCGACAGCTAGCATCAGGGCTATTTATAAACTCTTTAGAAATACCCAGTTGTGTTTGTACTTTCAGTCATGGTTACAGGGCATGTTGTCAATCATTAGTGGAAACTGTTGCGCATGTGCATTTGAAAATATGACTCGGCCTATTTTTAACTAATGGCATCATTAATGTTGCCAAACTATGTAACAGATATGTCACTATTGTTCATCATTATTAGAATACGTGCACGTTTTTAACTAAATGTCTTAGATACAGTTACAGCTCCTTAGAATCAGTTTAACGTATGCATTATTAAAAGGTTTGAATATAAAAAATTAACATAATATGTGACATATATAAATAGATTTAAAAAAAGATCCCAATGTCAACCTCTTATTATCAGAAGCTAATTAAACACCATTTTAATACATAAAGCTTAACTGCAGTATCCACTATATCCAGTAACTGTTCAGCAAATATTCATACTCATAACTATTTCTTAATCATACATTGATACAGAAATAAATAAACATTCACATTGAAATCGACATATATTTGACATCGAAATAAACATATATTTGACATTGAAATTAACATATATTTGATATCGAAATAAAAATATATTTGACATCGAAATAACGTATATTTGACATCGAAATAAACATGTATTTGACATCGAAATAAACACGTATTTGACATTGAAATTAACATATTTGATATCGAAATAAACACGTATTTGACATCGAAATAAACATGTATTTGACGTTGAAATTAACATATATTTGACATCGAAATAAACATTTTTTTGACATTGAAATAAACGGGTTTTTTACATTGAAATTAACGTATATTTATGGATCTGATCTGACAAAATATACTTCCATTTTTGGCAAATTTTCTGAAGAGCGGTCGTTACCTGTAGGGCAGGACAGTATTGCTAACCCTATTCGCAAACTCCTGGTGTCATCACTGATTTCCAGTGATCCATTCATGTCATTTTCACAGCTGTTTCCCCTTGACGGAAAACGGAATTTTTTCCCGAGGACCAAGTAATCTTTCGTACTCATGTTCTATATCTTCTATTCACTTGGAGAGGATTTTGCAACTAAGAACGCTCGGAATTCTGTTCATTCCCGGAAATGGTTTTGTGAGAAAACACTTCCAGCAATCACAGGAAATGCCATGTGATTCCGACAAACAGCATAACACGCATTTGAGAGATATGAAGTTGTTCAGTTTTATTAAATATTGTATAGTATTAGCTCAGTATTCACACAACATATCTCATTAAATACACCATGGCCATGCATGACAGATGAGAAATACATCGCAATTTAGAGATTCCATAAAGGACTACAATGCTACTTAAATAATATATAGGTGTAGAGCCTATACTTGCACAGATTGCAATGTATCAGCAGAGTCTATATTTGCGCCGATTACAATGTATTAGCAGAGCCTATACTTGCATCGATTGCAATGTATTAGCAGAGCCTATACTTGCACAGATTGCAATGCATCAGCAGAGCCTATACTTGCACAGATTGCAATGTATCAGCAGAGTCTATATTTGCACCGATTACAATGTATTAACTGAGCCTATACTTGCACAGATTGCAATGTATTAGCAGAGCCTATACTTGCACAGATTGCAATGTATCAGCAGAGCCTATACTTGCACAGATTGCAATGTATCAGCAGAACCTATACTTGCACAGATTGCAATGTATCAGCAGAGCCTATACTTGCACCGATTACAATGTATCAGCAGAGCCTATATTTGCACCGATTGCAATGTATCAGCAGAACCTATACTTGCACCGATTACAAGGTATCAGCAGAGCCTATATTTGCACCGATTACAATGTATTAGCAGAGGCTATACTTGCACCGATTACAATGTATCAGCAGAACCTATACTTGCACAGATTGCAATGTATCAGCAGAGCCTATACTTGCACAGATTGCAATGTATCAGCAGAGCCTATACTTGCACAGATTGAAACGTATCAGCAGAGCCTATACTTGCACAGATTGAAATGTATCAGCAGAGCCTATACTTGCACAGATTGCAATGCATCAGCAGAGCCTATACTTGCACAGATTGCAATGTATCAGCAGAGCCTATACTTGCACAGATTGAAATGTATCAGCAGAGCCTATACTTGCACAGATTGCAATGTATCAGCAGAGCCTATACTTGCACAGATTGCAATGCATCAGCAGAGCCTATACTTGCACAGATTGCAATGTATCAGCAGAGTCTATATTTGCACCGATTACAATGTATTAACTGAGCCTATACTTGCACAGATTGCAATGTATCAGCAGAGCCTATACTTGCACAGATTGCAATGTATCAGCAGAACCTATACTTGCACAGATTGAAATGTATCAGCAGAGCCTATACTTGCACCGATTACAATGTATCATCAGACCAATGTCGCCACTCACGCTGAAGTGATCTCGGCTGATTTGTCTCTGGAGAAACAGAGTAATTCTTGATTTATCAGGGGAACTAGGTTCACAGTATGTAATTTCCACACGAACAAACCCTGTATGTAATATTACATAAACATGTGTATGCATACATAATATTCATATGTATGTACCCCATATAGTTGGAGGATATCACAGTATGGAATATTTTTGGTCGGTTCTCAAAGGATTGGTGCTCATTACACTTGCCACTCCGTGTCATGATTACCAGTACATGTATCTAAGACCAAACTTTGTTCCACCTCTACATTTACCGAACACATATGTCTCGTACACGATGTTATTGCTGTAAATACAGAGATTTAGTTTAATCAGCTCTCAGATGAAATTGATAAACACCTCCCCAGTTCTAAAGAATCCTTCCTTCCCGATACTGCTCACCTCGCTGTTTATAGATCACAGTATCCGATATGCAAATTAGAATGAATAGTTTCTATTTCCTTGCTTTAGAAATAAATAGCATGATCACGTGTCATCATCATCTCCCTCTGTCCCAGTGAAGCCTTCAGTGAGAGAACACACTGGCGAAAATCAGTTGCTCTGCTGTGACACTGTATTCAGTTTTGAGTATGATTAAAATTATTATCAAGAGCATGCTTTCGGATATTTTGGTTTTCTTTTGAGAAATTAATTTTTGGCATCACGTTTATAAAAAACCTGAATAATACAATATATCAGATATGAGATATTTCTCGTATGTGAACTCTTTGATATCAGTATCCAGGCAGGATAACACGATAGCTTGTATGGTTATATTAGTTTGTCATGGCGTGGTGTGGATCTCGTAACTAGGATGTTTCCAGTGACGTTCTGTTGTAGAGTAACCACATTCTACACACTTAGAAATATAATCCCGTAAGTTATGTGTGCAGGTTACATCAGACCTCTACAGACAGACCGTGATTGTTTCAATGTTTCACAGTTGTTTTTTTAAAACTTTTTAATGAAAACTAGATACAGTTTATGTTATGGGTCCAGTCCAGAAATGATCTGTGCCGCTGTTGACGTTCGCCAACGAAGACCATAATCTTAGGGTTGAAATACCCTTCCTGATGGACATCTCGTATCTAGTCCTTAACCATCTTCACATCGAGCAAAGTGCTACCGAGAATCTTCAGATAAGAATAACAGTTTGCTTTTTCTTTGCATTTGGAAGAACATCGTACACTAAAGGCATGTTCTTTATACAGAAATGTCCATAAATATAATTAAATGACAAGATTCACTGTTAGAAGAGAGTCAGTTTCATGCATAATTATACACATCATAACATTCCTTTAAGTAACGGACATAATTATACACACATTGGCGTCCTTCAAGTTATGAACATAATATACACATACACATAATTATACACACATTGGCGGGCCTTCAAGTTATGAGCATAATTATACACACATTGGCGTCCTTCAAGTTATGGACATAATTATACACACATTGGCGTCCTTCAAGTTGTGGACATAATTATACACACATTGGCGTCCTTCAAGTTGTGGACATAATTATACACACATTGGCGTCCTTCAAGTTATGGACATAATTATACACACATTGGCGTCCTTCAAGTTATGGACATAATTATACACACATTGGCGTCCTTCAAGTTATGGACATAATTATACACACGTTGGCGTCCTTCAAGTTATGGACATAATTATACACACATTGGCGTCCTTCAAGTTATGAACATAATTATACACACGTTGGCGTCCTTCAAGTCATGGACATAATTATACACACACTGGGGGCCTTCAAGTTATGAACATAATTATACACACGTTGGCGTCCTTCAAGGTATGGACATAATTATACACACACTGGGGGCCTTCAAGTTATGAACATAATTATACACACGTTGGCGTCCTTCAAGTTATGAACATAATTATACACACGTTGGCGTCCTTCAAGTTATGAACATAACTATACACACGTTGGCGTCCTTCAAGTTATGGACATAATTATACACACATTGGCGTCCTTCAAGTTATGGACATAATTATACACACATTGGCGTTCTTCAAGTTATGGACATAATTATACACACATTGGCGTTCTTCAAGTTATGGACATAATTATACACACATTGGCGTCCTTCAAGTTGTGGACATAATTATACACATATTGCCGTCCTTAAGTAATGGACACAATTATACACATATTACTAAACAACCTATTTATGGAATGCACATCGGATACAGATTCGGTGCACACGCTAGGCACTGGACTTACTAGACACCCTATTTAAAGTGGACACAC